GGACCTCAAGGCTGCTCTCTCTTTTCGACCCTGTGACCACTTGGACATACCCAGTTTCCTGGAGGCCTCCAATTCCTACTCATTGAATGCACTGTATATGGACCTATGCTGCCAGTTGCACTTGTGTGCGTGTGTGTGTGTCTGTGTGTGCACACTTGCACATAACCAATGTTACCTAGCAGTCCAGCTTGGCAGATAACTAACTGCTAACTAAGAATTCACATCCACATAAAGGGCAAGGCCAACTTTCCTCCTAAACATCTCCCAGCAGCTGCTCTGCCCTTCTCCCTCAAAATACTCCTCTCTCTCTGATTCTCAGGCTGTACCCAGAACCTCAAAATCCCTCCTGTGCTACTAGGCAGAGCAATTGACCACTGTCTTGGACCCAATCCAAAGGCGAGCAAATGGTCCATATAAGTACTTGCTAAAATGATGATGGTTCTCTCCCCTAAGATGAATTCTGGTGCAGCTCAACTAACAGATGATTTTCCCCAAATATGTGTGACATTTGTATATGTAATCAAAGATCATGTGCATTAATGCTTGATAGATCTTCAGGAATTGTATTGGAGAACTCCATAACCCACAGTGCATCCACCAAGACATAGCACCTTCTGGAATGAACCATGATCTCTTATGGTTAAGCAGAGCCAAAGTTGGTCTCTGTTCAAGTGCATTCCTGCGACTATAACGAGCAAATACGATTCCCAGTGTGTAAATGTTTGTCTAAAAGTGCTTCCTGGCTATCTTCAAATGAAAGTAAATGTTATCACCTTTTAAACTGGTAAGAACCTTTTGGAGGAGCATTATTCTGCTAGGAATGTCCGAGACTCCGTGGGGAGGATGAGTGCCCTTTTGAGGTGGGTGGAACTGAGTTGCCAGATCCTCTCTGCCCTAGAGAAGTTGGTGTTTGATAAAGACTCAATTGCTGATGATGTTTATTTGAGAGAGTCTATTAAGTTTAGTTCATTTATCTTCAAATTTACTTTCATGTTCTACAGACAACATTAGTGTTTAGTTCTTTCTGTGAAGAACGGGAGCTACAGGGTAAAGTTTGTGTCTTTTTAAAGGTGAAATGTGGGGGCACCTGAGTGGTTTAGTCGGTTAAGCGTCCCACTCTTGGTCTCAGCTCGGGTCTTGATCACAGGGTCATGAGTTCAAGCCTCACAATGGGCTCCACACTGTAAATGGAGCCTCCTTTAAAAAAAAAAAAATAGTGAAATGTGGTTCTTTAATATTAATTTTGGGGGGAATCCTGGGATGATTCTTAGCAATAATGACAATAATCACTTTCTGATTTTTTTTTCTTTTTTTTGAACCAACCTTCGGCTTTATGTGAGGAGCAACACAAAGCCCTGTTGGACATTACCACCCTTTTTCTCATCGCGCCCCCATGAGGCAGGTATATGACCTCCTATTTTACATGGGAGGATACTGATTCCCTTTCACCTGCATATTACTTTTTCCAGAAGGCTTCCCTAGCTTCCTCGATTATCATGCTCGTCACATTTTATTGTAAATGTTGGTCTATCTGTCAGCCCCACTAGATTCATATGGGTAAGAACCACATCTGTGGGGGGAGGGGGGTGGGGAAGGGGGGAGTGGGGTTATGGACATTGAGGAGGGTATGTGCTATGGTGAGTGCTGTGAAGTGTGTAAACCTGGCGATTCACAGACCTGTACCCCTGGGGATAAAAATATATTATATGTTTATAAAAAATAAAATTAAAAAAAAACACATCTGTGTTGTTACCTGTTACCCACTGTGCCTAACTCAGTGCCTGGCCTATGGTAGTTACCTACTAAGTATTTGCCAACTACTGGTTGGATCAATGAATCGGTGTAGAGAGGAGGAGTAACTCACTCAAGGCTTCTGGGTAGGAAGTGGAACCAAGACTCATGGCTAAACTGTTGAGCCCGAGCTCTTAAATGCCATGTAGCAATTTCCTCCACCCCATCCCCAGCCCCCATACAAAAACAACATATTGATTTGAACAGTGATATCTTTCTTGCTGCCAAGGCACACACTTTTAGTCTTTGTGAAAATGTAAGCTCCATAGCAAAGCATTTTTCATCCCTGGGGAAAGGCAGAATTCCTCCCTGAATTTACCCCCCTGAGTGGTGTAAAAAAGCTCCTGACCCTTGGTGTACCCAGAAGCATCCCAAGACACGCCTTCTCCAGATCATGGTCAAAGCCCCAAAGAAATCTGTTTAAGACTCCAAAGTCCAGCCTTGAGAAATTCTTAATGGTCCAAATACAAAGGGGCAGAGTGGGCAGATGATGCGGAATTGAGGATGGTAGGGGCTGTGCAGAATTTCTTTTCTTAAATGAAAAGCCCAAATAAAATAAATAAATGAAAACATAAATCACAGTGTCTTCTCCAGGCTCCTGGCTGGAGGAAAACAAATTAGAAAGGGCTTGAATGAAAGGAGTATTGAAGAAGCTTGACTTGAATTAAGTGGTTATATATTTTAAAAGCACTTTTGTTGTGTCCTGTAAAAATAGCAAATAAAAAGGTAGTAATATCCCCTGGCTCTGCGAGGCAAATACCAGTAATAAAGTAAGCTTGGGTATGTGTATGTGTATGTGTATGGGGGGGGGGGGGTGCGGAATTTAAGAGTATAAACTTCAGTAGAGGGGAAAAGCAAAGCATTTGGTTTAGAAACACTTCGTTTCCCCTTAATAATTAATGATGAGGTGCTATGTTTTCAAATAGATATCATGTGTCTTTCTAACATCATTCACTTTGCTCTTAAAATGGCCCCCAATGAAATTTAAAGACAGAACTTGAATTTTTTTTCTTTGACGGCAGCCTAAAGGAGTTATTTCAGGGCTATGGAATACTTATAATTTAGGATCCATTTTACAATCCTTTTGTACATAGTCCGAGGGGAATTTCATAGAGAAAACTGCAACAAGCACCTACCACAGGCACCCCCAGCCAATTTCCAACTCCTTTTTTGACCTGCTGTGTTATGATTAATTTAAAAATAAACAGCGACTGGCGAGCTTAGATATTTTTACAAATACATAGAGGCTGGGGCAACAAATTTTGCAAAAAATGGTTACGGGAGGAAATAACACAAGGAGAGTTACCAGGAAAGAGCTAAATGAACTTTCTCCTTGTTAAGAAATGTTTAGGTCCCTTTGTTTGTAAATGGCAGGTGGGTGGTACAATTCCAGTGTAATTTCAGAAAGCCATCTTCTGAATGTAATAAACATGTCTGCAATAATAGGATTCAGAAAATAGCAAAATGCATTCCAGACACCCTTTGATTGTGCATACAGAACAGAGAATTTAGCTATAATTGGCTATAACACAGTTATGGACTGCAAATGACACACCGTGGGGTTGGGAGATGTAGCAGCTCTGATTAGCGATGGTTCGGTTCAGCTGAACACGGCGCATAAAATAGCAAGCATTTGGTGACACAGCACCTTCCCTTCCTTCTCTTTCCCTCTCTCCCTTCCCCCTTCCCTCTCTCCTCTCCTCCCTCCCTTCCTTCCTCGCTTTCTTCCTTTCCAACTCATCAAAGCATCATAACTTAGATGAGAAAACTTGTTTTGTTATTGTTCAACTAATCAAATGTCAGCCAAGCCTTCATTCTCTTCAGAGAGTAAGAGTCACATGGAAAGGGGAAGTAGGAGCCCATGGGGAATTGACTTTTGGAGAACTAGATGTAATTTGAATCAAGAATTATAATAGGAAATAAACCATTACAATAAACAAGGAAACATGTACACAATTACTTTCACAGTGTAATTTTATTCACTCTAGTTGAGGAAATAAAGAGATAATACTGACCGTAGCACCTGGGTATTTAATGCGAACTGTAAAATCTATTATATTAAACAAAGTCAAAAGCAATGTGAAAGATCTTGAATCTATTCAAGGCATGCACCTCATTACAGACTTAGCAAATTAAAACACAAATAGGATTAGAAAAGAATAATGTAACAATCTCCCACTATGGTCCCTAGAGCATTAAGTCATAAATTGGGTTTGCATTAAATTGTGCCTGCAGTATTGAATTCAGGGAAAGAGCTGTGGGCTGGAGATAAACCACGCTGGGCTACTCACCAACTTTGGCAAAGCTATGTGTTTTCTGAGACGTGTAGTAAATTTGTTAGACTATAGCAGGTCCACAAAAAATGAGCACTTCATATCTTAATTAAAAAATCGGCGGTGTCACACCGTATGTGGCTTGCAGAGATATAAATGCAGACAAAAACCCGTATGTGAAAAGGAGCTCTGTTACCTGCGTGAGTTTCAAGCCATTTCACTAAATGCACTGCTTACTACCAGACACAATAATTGGTTTGTTTTAGCTCTCAACACCAAGTTTTTGATCAATTTGTTTTGCTTTTATCTTTTTTTATTTGTTTGTTTTTGCAAAGGAAGGAAGGAATGGAAGCAAACCATCATCTTTGGAGAACACGTGTGGGCTTTTAGAATACTCAGAGGAACATTCTCTTTCATTCCACGTGAAGATTAGGCCTTAAGTATTCTGGCTGATCTCTAGAAAAATACTTGGGACTTATTTTTTTTAAAGAAAGTGAATGTACTAACATCATTTTTTTTTTTTTTAATGAGACAGGCTTTGGAAAAACATTGTCTACTGCAATGCATGTTCCTTCTAATAGGGGTTTACTCTCTTTGGTTTGTCTCCTAATCCCTTGTGTGAGGGAGACTGACCAGGAAGAGGGAATCGTTCCAATCATCGTAGGACACCCTCATGTTACTTCCTATCTACTGGCTCTTTGCAAATGGGCAGGCCACATGCAGAAAGCCGACTGTCGGTCCTGTCTCCTCAGAGCTGCTTTCAGGCACAGGCCTCTATTTTATTTTCTCTGACTTCCTAAGGCTGCTATGAGAATTACAGAAAACTAATGTAAAACGCCGAGTGCTCAAAAACGTTTGTCTCCCAGATCTCGCTCCATCACGGAGTGGAAGTCACGGAAGAAGCATTTGAAGGCAACCCAGCGCCCCATTCTGCCAGCATGTGTGTGACCTTCCGTGCTTCGTGGTGTGCAGGAACTTTTCAGTTCTGGAGAGAAATATTTCTAGAGCTCCCTGTTGGGGGAGGTCCAAGAATCCTCTTCCTGGACAGTTGTGTTTCCCTTTCTCTGCCTCTGGGCTCCCGCCCTCTCCCTTCCAGCCTACGCATCTGTTCTGACCGCCAGGCGAAGTCTTTCTACATGACACTTAGTAGCAGACAGTCTGTTTCAACCGGCATCGTCTAGTTTCAAAAGCTTATTTGAAAGTCGAAACGGCTCCCATTTTGGCTTTAGTAAGACAAATATGGACAAAACCACGCAGTGCCCCTTAAGTATGATGGATACTGGGGACCCGCTGAAGTTTCCCGTAGCCAAAGTCTGGCTCATCATAGGGGCAATTTTTCTGCCACGTTATTTATGTGGTGGTTTTACTTCTAATTATGGCTCATGATGACTGTTAGTGCCGAGCTGTAAGAGAGCAAACTGCATTGTACTGCCATTTAACTCCAGCCCATAAAACGGGTGATAAAGCTGAAGGCTTAAAACCAAAACAAAACCCCCCAAAAACGTAACTTTCCGTGACATGCTCACATCCGCTTCTGCCATTCGGAGACTGGAAACCTTCACTGAGGAAGCACAAGCGGGTGGGTGACTTCTGAGGCCCAGGACCTCAAATTTCACTCAGGCTTCACCCTTAAGTAATCCTTTATTATGGACAAAACAACCCCAGACCTCGGATATAATTAACACATGCCAGGTTTAATCAGAACCAGTGTCCTTGTTGTTTGGAAACTAATGAAAGCAAATGGACATTAGTTAACACTGTAAATAATGAAAGGTCTTTTGTTGTTCTCAATTTTGATTACTATTTTTTGATGCTAAGACAAATGCCACTTGGTGCGTGCATAAACAAAGAAGATAAATGGCTGGGATGAGAATGAGTTGTCCGTAATCTGATTACAGCAATAGAGCTGGCTCCTAGGAGAACCGCACAGGGCTTAATGATTGGGTTGTTGTTCTTAATATGTCTAATGTTCACTCTTAAAGAAATCAAGAAAAATGTTAAGAGGTTACTGATATTTCACCGTGCCGTTGGGCTGTCTGTCAGAGATTCTGACAGGAAAAGAACATTCTCTCTGCCTGGAACACAATGTCCGGCCATGTAAGCTAATTTGCCCAAATGACATTAGCAGGCATCTAAAACCGAAATGTGCCCCAATTCACTCCCTCTGCTGGCACAGCCGTCGGGGACAAGGCAAGGACAGCCTTGGTTTTGTGGAGGTTGCGATGGGATAAAACAGCGGAGAGATGCCACTGATCTTCGGCGTATTTAGTTCCTTTTTCTTCTTGACAGAACGCTTCTGGATTTCAGTAAAACGCCTGCCAGTGTTTGGAAAAGAAATACATTATTTAAAAGCCTGTGGCCAATCTTGCCTACTGGGATATTAGGGAACAAACTTATAGTTACGGTAAGTTCGGTAGGAGCTCATGTTGGTGGAATGCAATGATTTTCATCCCTCCTTTTAGCACGAGTTCCTTGGTCTTGTGTGTGTGTGCACATGTGTGTGTGTGTGCACGCATGTGTGCGTGCAAGTTCACACATACCAGAACTCATAACTGAGTCGTCCTAGAAATTTAAGCCAGTCTAAAAGAGAGGTCTCCCTATGTGCATGGCTCGTGGCCTCCCAGATACCATCATCGTGGAGCCTGCAGTTCTCCTAATACAATTTAGATTACCCCAATGTCATTCAACCATTAAGAACTTTGCCGCCTTTGGAACTCCAAACTGGACAATTGGATTTCAGATAAATGGGAATTGGGATATTCTGCTTATTTTAAACCAGCAACCCAAATGAGTTAGAATACTCTAATTTCAATTCGCCAAATACATATTGAGAGCCTACTATGTGCTAGTGTCCCATTTTACAGATGAGGAAGCTGAGGTTCAGAGTGGTTAACTAACTCCCCCAAGACCCCTGGCTGAGTGGTTAGTTAGTAGTTTAGTCTCAACTTTGAACAAAAGCTTGTTCTCAGATCCATACTCTTTCTACCACTCTGTGTGTCTCAATCAACAGTTAAACCTCCACGTTTCAACACATTTTCTTGATAGGGTCTATGAATTTGCTAGAAGCATGTGATTGGCCCTGTCCCATGCAAGGAGAAGCAGCAGATGACAATGGCTTAGGTGACTTGCTCTCTGCGCCATGAAATGCATCTTAGGGCACTTCTTAGTTCCCTGGTGGGTCTGCCTCCTCTCTCCTTCGCAGACCACACTTTGGATTCAGTGACTTCCGAAACCCAACAGACTGAGGTTGGACTCCCAGGGACTGGGGCCGAAAGGAAGAAAGAGAGCGAGAGTGGGCTGACCCTCTTCCTGTCCGTTCTGGGCCCGGCCTCCTCCTGTTGGTCCATTTTGGATCCACATTGTCACACACTGGCACCCCCACCGGAGGGCAGGGAGAGGAAATGAAAGGGGATGATATAAAAGCACAGCTGGGCTGCTTATTAGGTCTCTGGTTTAAAAAAAAAAAAAAAGTGATGAAGAAAGAGGTTGGAACGAAGCTGCTCTCTCTCAGACCTCAGAGAGTTGCTAAGAGTTTAGACTGGCTTGTGCACGGACAGCTTCTGGAGAAGACATTTTCCCAGACTTGAAGGAAGGTCTGGTGAGTGGGATGCTTTGAAAGAAAGTGGGGAGAGGAAGCAGGTCCATGAAGCTGTGCATGGAGAGGCCTGCCCTTGAGGTGGGCTATGGGGCTCTGAGCCACCCTTCCCAAGGGAGGAGCAAATGAAGTCACTCTTGGTAGCAGGGCAGAAAATGGGACACCTGGATGCCAACTTTTGTCGGGAACGTTGCCTTCGGTGGAGGGGGGGGGGGAAGAAATCTTGGAGCACTCCCGCCTCCTTGCCTACTGCTTTTCATTTCTTTTTTTTTTTTTTAAGATTTTTATTTATTTATTTGACAGAGAGAGATCACAAGTAGGCAGAGAGGCAGGCAGAGAGAGAGGAAGGGCAGGGGGAAGCAGGCTCGCTGCCGAGCAGAGAGCCCGATGCGGGACTCGATCCCAGGACCCTGAGATCATGACCTGAGCCGAAGGCAGCGGCTTAACCCACTGAGCCACCCAGGCGCCCCTGCTTTTCATTTCTTAACTCTTTATTTTTAATGAAGATGGGAAGGTTTACGACTCTGACAGTTCCATTTATTTCTACAGTTTTCATCTAAAACAATACAATGAATAGCAATTATTTCCACCCAGGGTTTCAACTGCAGCTGGAGAAATGTCAGTATTAATTAAACATGTTCTGTGTACTCTGTGTTGTCTCTTCTGTTTCTGCTTATCTGTCTGTATTTCTCTCTCTATCCCCAGCTACCAAACCATCCCTCTCTCCTTCTCTCTTCTTGTCCCCGTTTTTTGTTCTCCCAGTGGACACAGGAAAATACCAAATATGGGTGCCTGAGCGACTCAGTTAGTTAAGGGTCTGCCTTCAGCTCAGGTCATGATCCCTGGGTCCCAGGATTGAGTCCTGCATCAGACTCCATGATCAAGTGGGGAGCCCGCGTCTCCCTCTATCTCTCCTCTTCCCCCGCTGCTCCTGCTCTCGTTTTTTCTCTCTCTCAAATGAATAAACAAAATCTTAAAAAAAAAAAAAAAAGACAAAGAAAACACTGAATAAGGACCCAGTTGAACTGAAGGGGTTGACCCCATGACCAGGAGTCCTGTGCATGAGGAAGCCCAGAAGAGTAAACCCTGCCCAGAAGAGCACATGGAGGGTCCTAGTGAGGGATAGACGACACCTTCCATTCTTGGGCTCACTGTCCAAGGCCTCCAGGCTACAGAGGGGGTGACCCAACTATTCCCCCAGCCCCGGAAGCTGGCCCGTCCCTCTCAGCACCAAGCAGTGGACAGAGGATCTCTCACCTGAGCAAGTAGATTTCATACCTTCCACACTTAACTTCTCCCCAGGGCTGCTCCTCAGGCGTCACTCACCTGGTGTCACTGGTGGGCTCTGTGTCCCCAAGAAGGAGGTAATAACTCTCTGTGCATCATCATGGTCAAATAGTTATATTTGTTAGGGATTTGTTTTTATAGGATATTTTTTAGTAATACAAATTTATTTCCAAAATAAATATGGATCTCTTCTATAAGTAAACACAACAACAACAACAACAAAACACAGAATGCTAGAGGAAGAAAAGAGAATGAAATCACTGGAAAGGTGTCAGATGTTACCAGACGTCTAAGATGAGATCATTAGAACAGCTCAGCTCTGGGCTAAGGCAAAAGGGAAAATCTGGGGTGATATTGTTTATATCATCTGACAATATTCCTTTTTTTTTTTTTTTTTTTTTTTTTTTTTGCTGAACCACTGTTTCCTAGAACAAACTCAGGGAAGAATTTATTACTTGGGTCCTTGTATAAATGCATGTTGGATGGCTAGTTGAACAAAGCTTTCAAATAGAGTCTTACAAAAAGAACTTCGTCTTTGTGACACGGATATTCCCTTGTCTGAAAAGATGGGGGGATTTCAGGCTACAGAGGCAGACCCCATACATGGACACTACCTTTAGGTTGGATTTAACACCATCTTTTATTTATCTATGTATTTTTATTATGTCGTGTTAGTCACCATACAGTACCTCATTAGTTTTTGATGTAGTGTTCCGTGATTCATTGTTTGCATGTAACATATCTTTTAAAAAAAATCACTTTGTAAATAAATCTTTCTTGTATCAGAAGTAATACATGTGCAATGCAGAAAATTTAGAAAATACAGATTTTTGAAAAGAGAGAATTCTCTAACCCTACATTCACTTAACCAATATTCACATTTCAGTGTTGTCTTCAGCTTCTTGTCTGTGTATATCTTTGGCACGCGTGTCTATTTTGTTTTGTTAGATGTTTTTTAAATTTAATAACGCAAATATGTCCCATTCAGTAAATCTCTCTATAATATCACTTTGAATGCTTGCAATACTGTGGTGATGTTGATACTAGAGAATGCATCAGGAAAACGTTATTCCAATGTATTTAGCCAATTGTCTGCATGCTAGATATTCAGGATTCTAATACTTTTATAAGCAATTCTGTAGTGAACATCTTGTGCTAACTGTTCTCAAGGTGTCTTCCGTGACTGGTCATTTCAGGGAGGGCAGGTTTAGTCCATTAAGACCTGAGTGCCCCAGAGGCTAATAAATTATTTGTCCAATGACTTGTAGGCATAACCTGCACTTTGTACACTTTCCCAGGCCAGAAGGAGGAAATAGTACTGGAACACAAAATCTTGATATAAACAGTATTTTCTAAGCTGCTTATAGAAGGCAGTAAAATTCGTCATTTCTGTCCTTATGTCCTGCAGCCTCGAGGTAGGAGAGAATGAAAAAGGTGGATGTGGGGATCACTGAAGAGGCAGACAACATGGGGCTCATGTTGGCCACTGAGTGGAGCCCCAATATTCCCTGAAGAGAGTGGACTCTAGATTCTCTAGACCCTCTATGTGAGGTTCTGCCTCTACTCGATGGTCCTGCATAGAGATGGAATGCATTTGGACTCTGTCGCTTGTATGCGGTGACTTTGTTCCTGTTCCCCAGAAGGTGTGTGGCATTTGGAAGTCACTCTCCCTCTCTGTGGTTCTTTGGAAGACTCTAACACAGTTTGCGATCTAGACACCAAAGACTGAAATCCCCAGAGAGCCATCCTAACACACGCCCTCCCCTTCCATCAAGTTCTTCCCATGCACAGTAATTCCTAGTTAAGGTCAGACAGATGGACTTATGTCTGAACATCAATAAGGAAGGATTTTTCTGGGCGATGTGGTTTGGAAGCAAACGCGATTACAAAATGTGCCCAGGCACATCTTTCTTTATTCATTTGCACACGACCAACAACTTCGCTCTAAGTGCACGTAGGTAGACGTAAAGATTTACTCATTACCAATCTGAATTTATTGTAATCATATCCCAGTACTATTCTTTTTCCCTAAGTGTTTTTTGTTTTCTAGATTGTACTTCAACCCCACAGGACATACTTTTGAAAAAGTACTCCATTAAAGACATTGTTGGAGGAACTTTGGGTATTCATTAGTGTGTTTTAAAGTGGACCTAAATAGAAATGCTTTTCGCTAAAGTAAAAATACATCCGTTCCTATGATCTAATTGTGCAATTGTTTAGAATTTCTATCTATCAATTCAAAGGGAAACTTGGTTTCAATGAATTTGTTTTTAATAAAAATGTGTTATCTATGATAAATATATTTCACTTTGTTCAAATGGATTTGATTGGGAAAACATATTGAGCAGAAGTACGGGTAGAGCTTAATTTCATTGCTTTGAGAAAACGTATTGAATGCTGGTTTGAATTAAATTCTATTTGTTTTAATAAAAGTGTATTGGCCTGAGTGTACATATATTTGTTTTAGTGGCAGTGCATTGGATCCAATAAAACTATATTGGCTTCACTGCTTATGTCTCCTTTTCAGTGAAAATGGATTGAATGGGAAAACGAAATCGGCATGAAGCAGCCAGCCCCAAGGTCTCAGCTTGGCGCAAGTATCCACGTAACTGAGAGGGGGTGGTTTTCCATAGACTTTACATCAAAATATGCTTTTAAATTTAAATACATTTTACTATCAAGGACTCAGATGTGGGACTGAATTGCCACCATGAAAAGTGCAATTTTCTGAAGCAGCCCTTTCCATGGGCAAGTTATGGAGCTGCCCAGGACACCAGAGGGAGACATTCTATGAAAGCCAAGAGCAGGTTTGTCAATGTCCCTTAAGCTTTATGTAGCCTCATTGGTTCCAATAAGATGCTGTCTACCAGGCATTCCTAAATCCCTTAAATAAGCAGAAAAGAGATCATGAGTGCTCCCTAAGGATGGTGCTGGCCCATCAGCACTGAAATGGGTCTGACTTTGAACTGATTAAAAAGGAGAAAAGTTGAAACTAGTGTTACCCCAAGACCCACATCAGAATGACCAGACTTCCCATGGATTATGGACACTTAGAGAGGAGTCAGCTCTCCAGAGGCACTTGATGCTGGTACTGTCATCCAGAAAACGGCAGCCTACGCAAAGCGCCATGATCCCCTGGGATCGCTGGGTGTGACTCTCAGGAGCCTTGACTTACAGGTTCTCCTTTGTGTGGCTGCCCTGTCCCAAAAGCTGGAGTTAAGATAATGAGGGTTAATAATAATATTGGTTGTTATTCTTATGTGACTGTCTCTCTATTAAGAGTGTAGGTGCTCTGAATTGTTTTTCCCCCAGAAGATGAACTTGACCTGACTTTCCTATGTAGTTTCATTTACCCTTGATGAGAAATAAATGCAAATACCACTTTCATTAACACCTCTGTTCCACCTAAATCTGCTAACAAGCTCTAGACTTCAATCTTCCTACTAATAAGTGGTAATTTTCAGCTAGTACCATTACCAAGGAACCCTAACCCCTTGGTGTATAGTTGCTCATTTTTTGAATGCTTGGATTCTTACAAGACCCTCCGAGGTTGAGAGATGAAACCTGAATCATGGGTTTTTTTTTCTTCCTCTGTGGCAATATCCCCAATTATGTACTGAAAATCAAGAATTAAATGAAATTTCTAATAAGGAAGTTTGCCGTGTTGTCCTTGGAGATGTGGGATTGTTATCCTAGGGGACAGTAAGTGGTTTACTCTGTCAGAACCTAGTATTGATCCATCACATTGTAGAAATATGATATGGAGCTGAGGCTACCAGCTTCAGAAGGGAAATAATAACATACAAACTTAATTCACTGTCCTAAATATGGAGTTTTCAAATTATAATCCTAGGACATTTCTAGGGTTAAACAACAGAGATGCAGACTACCTTGGGAAGGATCCCTGCAGGATTTTGGGGGATGGCTTTGAAGAGAGAGCAAATATATCTGGGAGCTGGAAAAACTCATGTGTAGATTTGTAGGCTCTCCCTGACCACAGGGTTGGAAAACAAAAAAATTATATCTATTGGGGGAGATGACCAGTAGAGACCAGTAAGAAAAAGGCTGCCCTACGCTTCCCAAGACAAATGAGAAAAAATCAGTCTCTGAAACGATCTGGGAGATGATCTCAGGGAACTCCAGAAGGTGAGTGGGCACTAAGGTAAAGAAGGAAGACAGCCAGTAAAGGGTACGTGCGCTATGATGCAAGCTACCATTGTGGTCGGCTGGAGCCCGATCTGCTGTAGAAATCTGGGGGTCAATATACCACCTGCGTCTTACAGTTATGTCACTCAAGAGGTAAGGGAATGGAGGTATTTATATACCAATACCAATTTATTTTTATTTTTTTCAAGATTTTTTAAAAAATTTATTTTACAGAGAGACAGCGAGAGAGGGAACACAAGCAGGGACAGTGAGAGAGGGAGAAGCAGGCTTCCCGCCGAGCAGGGAGCCCGATGTGGGGCTCAATCCCAGGACCCTGGGATCATGACCTGAGCCGAAGACAGAGGCTTGACCCACTGAGCCACCAGGTACCCCACCAATACCAACTTAAACACCAACTCCCAACTTCTCGGGCTGAGAGTGTCTCTGGGGAGCATGAATCTTCAGCGGCTGCCAGCCTGCCAGGTGAGAAAGCATGGTGTCTCTGGCCACCAGAAAAAGATTTCAAGGCAAAGAACTCAGTTGGAAGTGGTATGGTGGTAGGGAAGGGCAGGGCAATGACAAGATCTGCTAGCCCCAAGAAGCCCATTTTACAGGTGAGTAAACTGAGATATAAGTAAAGGTTCAGTCGTTTCCCAGTGATGTTCTGCTAATAAGCAGCACCGGCAGAAGGCAAAGCTAGCTTCTGGTCCATTCGAAAATCAGCGGCCTAACCACGTAGCCACACTGCCTTGGCCATGCTGTCCAGCTGAAGAAGCTGGAGAGCCTCCCAAGATCTAAATACCATGTCTCAAGGGTTTTATACTACCTCCGGGCTGGGGGCTGAGTATTACAGGTAGGAGAGGGGAATTGGAAGCCTTCTACTGTCTGAGCTTCTGTCTCTAGGAGTGGCCAGATAGTGATCTCTCTGGCTGAACTGAATCTTAGTGTCTAGGTATTTGTCTACTCACCGGACACTAAACTAAATCTATCCTCTGGTATATCTTTGCTTCATCATGAATTGCAAAATAATAATAATAATAATAATAATAATAATAATAATAAAATCTAATCACATGCTTCTGCGTGATTTGCGTTGAGCCAAGGGACTCCCTGCTACCTCCCAATTCCACCAGTTGTCCCCTTTCCTGTTCATTCTTTCTGCAACTGACTTTTCCATTTCAGCTGCACTTGGCTAGCTGCTAGCTGCTTTGTAAAGTAAGTTATGATGGCTTTGTGCTATAAAATAAAACAACAATCCTCATAGCTGTTTTGATTCCATTTAATGAAATGGTGGTGACATGTGAATGTCACAATTGTAGAGAGGCGGACGGGTTGTTGTGGTTGCTGGGAGTAGAAAGATCAGTATTATTCCCCAGGCTAATATCTCATACAACAATTCCACTGTTATTATTGTTCTGTCGGTCCGTGGTTGCTGCTATGTCCCTCTTACTAGGGAGGGACTTCAGGGATAGCAACGGACCTCTAGCTATTTTTTTGTTACCTATGAATCCAATCGGACAGCCAGCGGGGAGGGGATGCATGCAGTATTGTGAAGATGAGTAAAAGATGTCAGTGGGAAGGACCCTCAAGTAACAGTTCCTGCCATTCAAAAGTCAAAAAGTATACTGATCGGGAGAGGCCATAGTGTTATGTGTCATCCCAGCAGAAAGTGTCAGAAAAATCTTTGGTTTCTCCTTCGTCACACATAAAGTGGAGAGAGTGGTGCTGGGAAGATAGCAGACAGCAAACATGGAGGCAAGTCAAGAAGCCGGTCTCGTCCTCAATCAATTATGCGCGAGTATTATCAAATCAATAAATTCACAGTGTGAATGCTCGCGGCAGATGGACGAACACTTGTCGGCTATCTGGAGCCGCGAGAGAGTCAGATTTATTTTCGAAGCTTGTTTGTCTCATTTCTCCTGCCTGGTGCTGGAAGGCAGAGCATGCATCTGTGATTTTTCAAATGCAAGAGATCTCCAACTATTTTATAGCGTGTGAGATTGGGCTCTGCAAGCTGAACTCTCTAGGACTTCTGGCTTTTTCTGCTCAGAATGGAGACAAAGGGGAGCAGGTTTCGAAAGGGGTCTCTCTCTCATGCCTGTGGTTGTCAGCCACGGCAGACCCAGGCTGGCCGGTTCTGTGAATGGGCCTCCCACACTTGGCTGTGACAGTGAGGGTCGGCTGCACTCTGACCTCACGGACATGCTTACAGGAAGGGCAGAGGAAGCTTTAGCTGGAGCCCAAGTGAGGACGATGCAGCCTCTAGCACACAGGGGTGTTACCCATGGTCACTGACAGTGCTAACCCTCCCTCCAGCCACCAAGGATTCTGGCATACATAATTGGCAGAGAACTCCAGATGAGCTCTTGACTGAGTTAGTCAAAGAGGAAAGGGACATAACCTTTTGAGTTAGAATGGGTAACTTCACAGCAGCTCTCATCCCGTTCCAGAAGGCATATTTTGGTTTCCATCTCAAAGGAGGAATCATCTTTCCCATTTTGTGTATTGGGACAAGCGTGTTCTTGAAATCAAACAAGGAGCCCATGAACATTCTAGGTCTGAATTGGCAGCCTCCTGACCAGGGTCATGACCAAAAAACCCCATTAGACAAATTCTAAGTACCTGAGGGCAGAGTGAGTCCGAAATCTCCAGGGCTTGGGG